GCTGCCCGTGCGCCCGCCGCCGCCTGCTCGCACCGCCGCTGCCGCGCGCCGGAGTAATATGCTCACTCGGGTGAAATCGGCCGTGGCCAATTTCATGGGCGGCATCATGGCTGGCGGCTCAGGCTCCGAGCACGGCGGCGGAGGCTCGGACCTGCCCCTGCGCTTCCCCTACGGGCGGCCCGAGTTCCTGGGGCTGTCTCAGGACGAGGTGGAGTGCAGCGCCGACCACATCGCCCGCCCCATCCTCATCCTCAAGGAGACCCGGCGGCTGCCCTGGGCCACGGGCTACGCAGAGTGAGTGCAGCGACACCGGCGGCGCCCCTGCTCTCCTCGCGGCCCTTCCCCGCACGGTTCCAGCCCTCCTGTCTCCTTGTTCCCCGGCCCCCGGGCTCTCCGCGGGCTGCCGGCGCCCAGGCCTCGGCGGGGACCTCCTTCCTTACACTGGCGCGCGCTCTCTTCTGCCAGTCCCCTGCCCCCAGCCCCAAGGACGCGGCGTCTCCGGCCGGGTGTGGGTGGTAGACGGGGGTGGCGGCGCTGGACCGTGGGAAAGCTAGGGTTGGGCGGGTCTGCGAGTCCGGGGGCTGTGACACTTGGAGCAAAGTGCGTAGAACAGCCCTGCTGAAGTTTGAAACAGCGGGGAAATCTGGTGTCCGGTCACCCCCACACCCAAATTCTTTGTGCCTCCGCGTGAAGTTGGCGGGGTAGAGCCTGGAGGAGCTGTGGCTGCGCCTGGGGGCGGTGTCCGAGCCCCGGAGGCGGCCGCGCTCGCCCGCTTGGCTGCACATCCAGAAGGTCGCGGCTCCTCTGGCTGCAGCCTAAGCGCTCGTTCGCTTCTCCTGGGGCGGGTAGTAAACGCCTGCGCGTGCGGTCAATGCCACTGCCATTTCCCCTGGTCCTCGGGGGGGGAAACTCGCCCCAGGTGTCTAGGGACAGCGTTCTGGTAGTCAGCTGGGGCGACTACGCGAGCGTTTGGGTGATTTACTATTTCAAGAACCGACGGGATTAGGCTGACGACCCGGAGCGGGACTGGGAAAGGAGCGAGGGGGGTTTAATGGCCTCCCCCACTCCACGGCGGCTCCTTGATTGACTATTGAGGACTCCCTTATGAATGGCAGGACAAGGAATGTTTCTCCCCGATTCAGCGTTATGAAACCGGGAAACTCGGGAGGTGGAATTAGGAGACGAGAGTCCCTCGGTTAAAATGACCCAGTGGGTGCAAAAGTGCACGCGAAACCCTGGTGCCTGGCACACCTGCCCCTTGTGCGTTCACTCCATCCGCTCTAGACTCTTGGCCCTCCCCTACCCGTGCACAGCCTCGCCCGCTGATTGGTTCATCCGCGGACCAATCAGCTCTCCCGACGCCTGGGCGCTTTGATGCTGACCCTGTTCGGTGGCCCGGATACCCCCGGGCCGGCGTGGCTCCCGACGCCCCGGGTTCCGGTGTGAGAGGTGGCTTGGAAGACGCTCTGCCTATAATCTCGAATTCTCTTTTCCTTCCTCTTTCATCATATAACCGTTTCTCTTTGGAGTGAAATAGGAAACGTGTGTAAATGGGGATAGACAACTGGAGTGTGACAGATAGTGAGGAAACAGAAGTGAGAGTGATCGGTGCTAAAACGATAAAAATTAACGCATAGTAAAGGACAGAGAACGTTGTGGGTGGGGAGGTGCAAAATCGCATTGTAACTTCAGGAGAAAGCCAAGGCAAAAATGAACACCTGTGTAAGTCACGACCTGAAGGGGGAAAAGGGCTTGCCAAAACGTACCAAGCACTGTTTCTTGACTGAAATTAAAAAACATTGATTAAAACCCCGTTTGGACGCTTTGCAAGATAAAAAGTAACTTGGGGCATCCTCCGTCCTACAATTGTGTGGGTGAAGGCCCTTGTGCCTGCCAAAAACCTGAATGAGTAGGGCTGGTTGTCACTCCAGTGGGTTTCCCAGGAAGGGCAAAGGGTGCCTGTCTGAGGGGCAGAAAACAAGCCAGCAAATGGTGAGAAAGTTAGAGATAGGAAGGAAGATGTTAAAACACGGCCCGTGGAAGCTTCTTGGACACAAGAAAAGGAGTATCTCAGATAAGCAGGAAGGAAAGGAAAGGGGGAAAAAACAACTTGTTTCAGAATTTTTGGGTCCTATGGTGAGGATGTGATGTGCCAAGGGCTGGAAAGAATAGAAGGGAACCTGAAATGAGACGTGCAGGAGGGACACTACTCCTAGGGCTCTGTCTCCTCCTAGCTGGCCTCAGTATCCTTATCGCTGAGAAGCTTATCTTCCTGAACCAGGACCTGAGAGATGTTCAATTTGAGGGTTAGAAGGGCCACTGTAAAATGTTTAATTTTTGAAATTAGTTATAAAAGTAGTACCTACTTGTTAATTCAAGCAAAGACCTGTATACAAATGTAAGCCCCCCGCCCCGCCCCCCGGCCAGTAATGACAGTTCAGGGTTCGGGTCGTGTGTATGCCTTTCTAGACTTCTTTGGGTGCATCTATAAATATGTATCATGCATTTCTTTTTTCTTTCCTGAATAGTCTCATACTAAGCATGTCATTCTTAAGCATTTTCATAAAACTCTATGTCATGGACTTTATTCCACGTCAATACATATAAAATTAACCTCATTTTTCTAAAATATATATCCAGTACTAATAATAGCTAACATGGGGCTTATTATTTAATGCTTACACTGTTTCCAAGATTGTGTCATATCGTTTGATTCTCACAACGACCCTATAAGGTAGGCACTAACATTTCCATTTTATACGTGAGGATGCAGAGGCACCAAATGGTTAAGGGACTTGCCAGAGTCTTACCACCTTAGCGAGCCTGTACTTGAAGCCTTGAAACCGAGCAATCTGACTCCAGAGCCGGCAAAACCCAACTACCTCCTCACAGTGTATTAGATTAGGGTGCATCCATCTGTACCCAGGATTAACCACTAACGGTGTCTTGCCACCTCCCTCTGTCAGATGTTGTACTGTATCACTTCCTCAAACCTTGAACTATTGTTTATCTTCCTGCAAAAATACATCCTGAATGATCTAAGCGGCTGAAATAGGGAAGGAGAAAGAAAGACAAGTAGGAACTGTGGCTGTGATCACAGGCTGCTACCAGTAAACTGCCCTTTGCTACAGGAGCTACTGGGGGAGGAATTCTCTTTGTTCTAGAAGATACCCAGAGGGATAGAATTGATAGGAAGATTGCTCAGAGTGGGGATAAGAGGGTGCTAATGAGTCATGGCCTGAATCAGAAGTGTTTTGCTTACCTTTCTAGAAGGTGAGCTACATTCTAAACCTTCCTGGGGAGGAATAATTGGCATCACTTGGTGACTGAGGTGTTAGCAGAGAACTGAGCTGTATTGTTGATCACCTTTTGGATGGTAGAAAAATTAAGGGGAAAGGGTCTATTTTTTGCCACTTATTGTTAATCCTTTTCAAGAAGAGATACTCTATAGGTTATAGAACTAGAGAGTTAGCTTAGGCAATCTCTGTAAGTCTTGGGGATCTGGAAATTGAAGACTCTCATTTATTAATTCAGTATTTATTGGTGTTGTGCTGGGTGGAATTTCCTGGCTCCTCAAAAAGCATCCTATCCTGGCTGAAAAGTTTAGCCACTTAATTATGGGCTGTATGCTGGATTGTAAAGCATTGCAATTACAGATAACATCTACAGAACTTAAAATCTTTCCAGAAACATGCATTAGCAAGTTTTATTTTTTAGTTTGGCTTTGAAATCCCTGACTTAGCCTGTTAGATCTGCTCAGAGAGCGCCCATGGGAAGCAACGGTCTGAGCCGGAGACCCTGCAGGGCAGCTACTGCCCTCTCTCTCCGCAAGTGTAAGTACCGTCCGGGTGGTCCCAGAGCTCCTGGAAGTCAGTCCTGTTTTTAATGGGTTAGGAGCCCATTTTGATTTCTTTTTTCCTTCTTGACCTGTTTTCCCAACGTTTCTCCTCTTGATGGTCAGTTGGCTTTAGAGATGCAAGTGGATACGGAAATTGTGCCTGAAACCGCGGCCACAGAGAATGCCAGAAAATGCGCAGTCCTCTGGATATGAAAGCATCATATTCAAGTCTTTATCAGTGATAAGTGTACAGAAAGAATAAATAACAATTATAGCATAATTTTACTTAGGTTATAGCTATGACTCTACAATTCTTTTTTTCCCCTAGAACTTTTCTCATAAAAGTGCCCTGGACATGGGTACAAAAAAACAGCTACTTTGAGAGTTTCTGTTAAATGTACATTACATAAATTCTTTGTGTCACACAAAGTTCAAAATTGTGAAATTTTCGATGAAATGACCTTATTTAAATCCAGAAAACAGCTCACAAGTATTTGGATTTATTTTGGGATCTGTGGGCTGTGTTTTCTCCCTAGTCATCAGCACTAATTAGCCATTACCAGTAAATTGCGTTATTTGGCTGTGTGGTGGTGATGACAGAGAAACCACTATTTCTCTCTTGCCCCAAAGCTCAGAATTCCCCTGGCCTTTCTTTTTCCCTTCTAACCTCCTCTAGCACACGCACCCCTCTTACACCTCTTAGCAGAGCTCCTGCCTGGGAACTTCCTGGTTGACTCTTGCAAGTGAAGAACCTTGAGGTTCTCCACCTCATGTATACAGATAAAAGGAAATGGGGTGGGGGGCAGGGTCTTATTTAACAGAGCTCTCCATACCACTTATTGGCAGATGAGTTAGAGGTCCAAAGTAGCCTAAAATATTTCACCTACCTTTCTGGTAACCTGCAGAAGGTATTAATTTCCTATTTTAACGCAGGTGGTGAAGCTCTCCTCCATTTTTCAGATTGAATGATAGAAGTCATCCACTCTGGGGTGGAGCTCCTAGACTCCCTTTTCGTAGGGAAATAGATCAGCTTCCTTCAAACACTAGTGATGCTTCAGGCAGAGGACTGAACCATTCCAAGCAGTTGTTTACCCCATGTTTCAGCCCACTAGGTGGACATCATCTCTGATGCTGCCCCACCACACACTGCTTCCTAATTATGGTTACTAAGTTAAGTCGATAACTTAAAACTAACTGCATACTACAATTGTTTTCTAAAAATATATTATTGAAGACAATTTTATATTGAGCTATAATTGATATAAAACATATTAGCTTCAGGTGTACAACATAATGATTTGATATTTGTATGTATTGCGAAATGATCACCACAGTAAGTCTAGTTAATACCCATCACCACACATAGTTACAAAATTTCTTGTGATAACTTTTTAGATTTACTCTTTGCCACCTTGAAATATGCAATACAATATTATTAACTGTAGTCACCATGCTG